TCTACGAATGAAGGATTGGAGAAATGTGGGCAATAAGTGGAACTTGTGAATGAGATTGAATGCTTGCAACTCTATCCTTTGGTTGGCAAAGAAGAAGATGAATTTGGTGGTAATTCTGGTGCAATCCTTAGATGTGAAAACGTGCTTTTCCCTGTACAAAGATAAAGCTTATACGCTAACACCTGCTAGGGCTGCCAAGAAGCTGTCCAGAGACTGCACGAGAGACTGCAAGAAAGGATTGAAGAACTCATGAATGGCAAAGGAGCTTACTGGCGGAAGCTGAAGAGTTCTGTGATCCAACACATGCTTTGTGTCTGTGACGGAGAGACACACTTTAAAGCACTTACAGCACTGAATGAGGAAAATAATCTAATGAAGACGAATTATAAAGCCGCTGAAACATTGCTAAAGAGTGCTCTGGTTTCCATCAAGTCGAAATCGGCTGGAGTTCATTACGAAGAGCAAGTTGCCTTTGCATATTCTCTTGGTGCTCAAGTTGGCCAGAGTGGGCACTCACAGAAATTAGTTCCAGACCTTGTAAGATGTCTGATTGAAGTTCTGAATTGAAGTTCTGAAAACGAAATGCTTACCTAGCAGAGGTCTTCCCCCTCACTACTATATGGCTTTGGATAAAGCAACTGTTAACAAGAGAACTAATCAAGCAGTTATTATTTGTCCAACAATTGATGGTATTAAAGTCCCAATTGTTGTTGGTGCGCCTGAGGTGTATAAGCATGGTGATGATGGTGATGTAGATGGGGGCAAAGCTGAGGATTCTGGTTAACAAGCTTTTGAACAAGTTGAGAAGAAATTTGGTAAGACTGCATTGGACTATATGGTGGGTAAGTTCCTTGTTTGTAGTTATTGAATACCTACTAGCTTTAGAATAAATGGATTTAAATAACTAAAATAAGCATAAGATGGCCTATAGCATAGTTTAGTATTATTTATTTTTCAAACTAGTGCAATTCATTTATATTCTTTATATGAGATGGTGTTTACCAAGCCACTGGTTTCCAAGAAACAATAAGCGATGATGATACAAGTCTCTTTTTGAAACAAGTCCATTGGGATCCATCTCACTGGCTTAACCTTGTCGTTACATATGTAAAAGATGGAAAAATTGGAACTTCAAAAGAGTATTTCACAAGTTTCATTGAAAGAACAAACAGATTCTCAGAAGCGCTGAACAGGGGGAAAGGTAAGCACCTGCTTAATTTAGACTGAGTGTTTCTATTCGTTGGGAACACTAAGCCAATTGATCATTTAATCACAGGGAGAAGCATACTGGAAGCCACGGCCAAGCAGCTCGAAGTGAAACCAACTGTGTTGACAATCTACTCACAGACAAGATTTGCTAGTTCACCATATGTGCAGTGGCAACGTGTTGTCAAATCCTACAAACTATTTGTTAAAGCATTGGAGAATGCATCTCTGGCTTTATCTGATGAACAACATCCATTACAATACCAAGCTCTTGGACAGGTAGGATATGTCTGTGACAACAAATTAGTTGTCCCAATCATGATTCCCATTTACTGTTGTGTATTAAATATTGTTATTTCAGGACTTTATTGTCAACTTATTGCTGATGCATATGTTTGCACCTTTTGCCAATGTGATGACAGCTTTTCAAAGCATTTCCATTCCGCAATGGAAAGCTTATTTGTATGCCAAGAAAGTAGCAAAGTGGCTCGTGGATGCATCAAATGAGTGTTATATACATGGTAACATGGAGTTCTTTCCAGCAATGAAGAAAAACATGGAGGTATACAATATGCAGCTTTTGGTCATACACATAAATTATAGTTTAAAAACTTGGTTAAACTTAAAGTAATTATTCAATAATGTAAATTTAAAAAAAAATAACTAAATTTTTGGCCTGTAATTTTCCCTTCGATTATGCGTTAGGATATCCTGAATCGTGATCCAGAGAGCCATGACCCAGCTGAAAGACCAAGGTATGACGGCATAGAACTTGTGTGTGGATGGAAAGTTACCGGTACAGAAAACGTGGAACTTGCTTCTGGTGATTCAAGCAAAGGAAAGCACTTTACGGCAATGGAAGAACGCAATACGTAAATTGATATTGGAAAAGGAGATATTATTATTATTATTAAAAAATCTTCAACGAGGAGAGCTCCAATCACACAAAGGTGGTTTTCATGGAGGCCCTCAGATAAAAAGATGTTTACATAAACACACATACCATATACATAGACACTAAAAAGAATAAGTTAAAAGTTTTAAAACAAGCTGATTATTCCAAATACTGTCCAAATCTTCCTCAAACCGTCTTTTGACAACCTGTGATAAACTCACTGACTCTACCCGTTCTTCAACAACTTTTTGAAGGAATTTATGGGTATCATCTGCCTATGAGTCCTTGGTAAACTAGTCCATGCAGCAAAAACAGTTTGTGTAGTTAGTCTCTTGCCCCAATTTGTTCTTGGGGTTGAAAGACGGTTAAAAATATTATCTCTGAAATAGTATTTAGTATTACAATCATCCTTATTAGTTAGTTCATGCAAATGTGAAATGTACTCTCCTTTCATAACCCGATGGGCCAACATTGCTCTATAGTTCCTTCTACGTGTTACCATCCAAGTTCCTTTACTGCTTCTTCACCACTTAGTGTCTGGGCCAGTATCTTCTTTGCAAATTTATTTTGAAAGCCTTGTAACTTCGTCATTTCTGCCTTTATACCCGGTTGATCACCCCAAAGAATGCTCATGTAGTCCATATGTGGTAGCACAAGACCGTTAAAATATGCAATCTTGCACTTTACATCAAGATGATATTTAATTCGATGGAAAACCGCAAGCTGGTGACCTAGTTTCTTAAATACTTGAGCAAGATGTAATTTCCATGACCAATTTTCATCCAGCATTGCTCCCAGATATTTATAACTGCTTTTCCGTTCAATTTCTTTGTTATTTATTTGTAATGTTATGTCATCAAAATAGGTCAGCCGCTGTGAGCTACCAACCAACATCATTTTACACTTCCTTGAATTTATTGCAAGCTTATTTATTCCATACCACATTGATATATTGTCCAAGTCTCTTTGAAGGAGAGACTGTAGCTCCGTTTCACTAGAACCAACATTATACAGGACCGCATCGTCAGCATAAAGAATCAACTTGCTGGTAGTTAAGCAATTTTTCATTGAGTTCACGTATATCGTAAAGAGCAGTGGCCCCAAAATTGACCCTTGCGGTACTCCCAATTGAATAATCCGGTCCTGTGATTTTTCGCCATCAATGCTGACAACTTGCTTCCGGCTTGCAAGGTAAGATTTGAACCACCGAACAGAACTGTCATCTACTTCTATAATAGATAACTTTTTCAGTAAGATCTTATGGTTAACAGAGTCAAAAGCCTTGGAAATATCTAAAAAAACTAGACCGTTGACCGATCCTTTATCCATTTCCTGCATCACCCAATTGTTTATCTGGGCAACCACATCCTCCTTCCAATATCATTTCCTGAAGCCATACTGATGTACATAGATCCAGAGAGCCATGACCCAGCTGAAAAACCAAGGTATGACGGGATAGAACTTGTGTGTGGATGGAAAGTTACCGGTACAGAAAACGTGGAACTCGCTTCTGGTGATTCAAGCAAAGGAAAGCAACTTAGGGTAATGGAAGAACGCGATACGTTCGCGATGGATGAAGAACAAGTTGCTGTTTTGCCTCAAGCCAGTTGATGATAAACATCAACAAATCGCCAATTCAATTGTGGCTGATCCAGAAACGAAGTTGATGAAAATGGCTAAAGGCACAGTGACAACAAAGAAAGTCAAACTACATCCCTCATTAACGTTCGAGTTCAACAACCACCCAACTCTACAAGCGGCGGTCGAAGAAGACAAAGTCATTTCCATGTTGTACAATGACAAAACTCTGTATTTGATAGCTGGGAATGTATCTATGACAGCCTTTGACATAGCGATGTCTCTTGGGGGCTCAGAGACAATTGTTGAAAGCTTCTACAGCGTGATGGATACACAACGAAAAGTTTGCCAGCAACACACAATGCTTGTATTCGTAGTATCCTTGATTGGTCAATAAACAATGTCCTCACCATTGAAGACATTGTATGTAAAGCAGCTAAACTTTATGTTGATGGGTCATCAGAAAAAAATTACCACAGCATCGTGTCGGAACATTAACAAAGAAAACTGAGACATGGTACATGGCGAGTCAAGTTTTGACACATTTAAAGAAGGAGAAGGGACGCTATCCATTCCTGGTGTAATTGTAAATAATATATTATATGGAGTTTTGTATAGCTAAGATTGAGATTATTAATATTTCTATATACAATGGTGATAGATCATCACATCAAATTTTATAGTATTAGCATATCTGTGACTAATGGTCTACAGCAACTAAGCATTTGAATCTGCTGAATCTTGTTATCGTGTATCCAAGGGGTACATTGGGGTGTAGCCAAGGGGTCCCTCAAATGATCTGGATTGGAAGACCACCTTTGTGAAAAACACAAACACACAGATACAGTAATATATCGAGGTTGGGCAATGAAGTTTTCTAAATAGACGTTCTAAAATGCATCAAATGTTGTTGTGCAAAATTCCGAAATTTTTCCTGAGGCTGAGGCCAGCAAAAACAGTCCTCCCGAGTGTTGAGACCATATGGCTACGCCTCTGCATGTTCTTAAGTTCTTTTGTGTTTTGAATGGGTTGATTACATATAATAGAAATATATTTTGTCATACTTGGAACTGTAATGGCTATAATAACAAAAATATAAATAACATGTTGCTCTGATGTTTTCTTTGAAGTGAAGTGCATTCCTTTGACCAATGGGCTATTAGAATAGTTGATGTTTCAAATAATTTTAACACACATACCCTTCTGCTTGCTCAACAACTTCCTTTGCCGTTTTAATACCAATACCCTTTAATGTTTTCAGATTTCACAACCACTCAAAACACACATGACTTTAAACTTTTGAAGTGTATAATTGGACTTCTTAAATTCCAGAAACTTTTTCACTTTCCAAATCAATTAAGTCACTACTGCCATCACAGCGGAACTTGAATATTACCTATAAACAAACAATTTACTAATTTAAGACAAACCTCACACCTCACCACACAGTGTAATGATGATGACTCACATAACAGGACCGTACACAAAGGGGGGGAAGGCAGTTGGGGCAGAATGCTCAGAATGTTACTGTTTCAATCATCAGTGGTTTCAATGCGTTTTGTCCTTGTAATCTTGTTTGATGAAACTATGCTGAGTGGCGCATTTTAAAATACTGTCCTAAGCCAAGGCAAAGTAACACGATTTTAACTTCTAGACTTTAACTTCTGCCAAATATTTGGTACTTTTGGTATTTGCTTAGTCTTACAAGAGGCCAAGCAAAGGCAATGCCAATAGTGAATAGAATCGCAGTATACAATTCTGGTACTGGTAGTGGTTGTACAACGTTTTGTATAAAATATGGGAAAACTATCAATATCGATACTTATTGTCGAGGGGCAGTTACTACAGGTATAAATAATTAAAATTATTCGTTGGCTAATGTAGATCACATCCATAAACAAGTAAATCAGAATCTTCACTTATGGCTATGTCTGTAAATCCATTCTGTTGCAGAAAGGCTATTTGAGCATCTGCTCCAAAGGTGCCAGAATATATCGGATATGTCTTTCTCTACATAGCTATAATATGGAATAATTTCAAATAGAAATAATGAAGCCACACAGTCGTGACTCTCTGGTTATGACTCATGCACAGTGGCGGACACTAGGGGGGGTGAGGGGGGGCGATCGCCCCCCCAATAATTTTAGCTGAAGCTTTCATTTTGAAAAGTGGAAGCACGAGAAAGTTTTCATTTCAAGAAGTAAACTGTAAAAGCACTACTTTATAACAACAGCAGCAAAATGGCGTGTTTTAAAAAAACAAGCGAAAGTATTCTAATCCCACAAAATAAGTGTTATGAAGGAAGTTTGGATAAAGAAATTTCTTACAAGTTACAACATGCTTGTTGCTTCACATTTTTCCATTGTCATATGAATTTTGCTTCCCAAAGGGTTAGAAATGTTCACACATTGCATAAAAGACTTACAGCGAAAAATATACTAAGCACAAATGTACAACAGATTTAAGCAGCATGCTTCTTTAGAAACAATTTTAATCTTCTCATTTGACTATTGACACGACGTAGCCGTAGGCATAGCACTATCGATGGCTATAAACAATAATAACAACAGTTGAAACTTGAAAGTATCTACAGTATTAAGATGATAGTTTAACATGTTTTTAATTAAAGGGTGCAATTCGGGCTTTTTGATTTACCCAACGATCAAGCACTTTGTCCAAGTTTATCCTTTTTAACAGGTCTTTGTTCATCGATAGTAACATAAAGTCATTGGCCAACGAACTGTCTAAGCTATTACGAACCCAGCTCAATATCCGATTCATAGCACTGAAGCTTCTTTCCACGGTTGCAGTACCAACTGGCAAGGTCTTCGATATGGCGATCACCTTGAATAAGTTGGGGTACAACTCAGGGTCGATGTTCTTTCCGGCTGCAATTAGAATCTTCGCCCGTTCACACTCGGTTTTAAGCAAGGGAGAGTCAATATGGAGACAATCTCCAAATTTGGCAACGACACTGGACAGAGTCGTGTAATCCAGGTATGTCGATTTTGATGCATCTAAAGCCTCCAGAGCTCCCAGTATATCAGTATTCTCACCAGAGAAACGTCGTTCCAACTCCTCGAGGAGCGTGGGAACAGAAGCTGCCTTGAGACGATTACAGAATTGACGAGGGCATGCAGATCTTGTGGAATCTTGTCTGGAAACATGTACGGGATCCTCATAGTCCAAGGTAATGTTCACAGTCGAGCATAGCTCTTTGGCGGTTTCAATGATGTCGTTGGTTTCAATCTCAACAAGAAGCTTCCTTACAGCCACCATTTCGTTGGCTACGTTTAGCCATTTGACATTGGTCTCTTGCATAGCCTTACTTAATCCATGCATTATTGACAAAAGCTGATGAAGAAAGCAAAGGGAGATAACAAATTTTCCCGAGAGAATTTTGTGATAGAGACCCGCTGCTGAATCGGCTTGTTTTGAATTGGAAGCACCAATCTTCTGAAGGCTTACAAGAATCGCTCGGAGTCTTTTAACCATTATATTAACACCCTCAAACTTACAAGTCCATCGGACTTCTGTAAGAGAGGAGGCTGCCATTATGGGCTGTTTTGGATAAAACTCCTTTTGAACAGCTTCGAATATTTCTCTGTTGCTGGCGACGTTGAAAATGGTGTGTAAAGCCTTGTAGACATTTATTACATTACATGCTTCATTAACTGTACGAAAATAAGCCGCAACAATCAAATTCAGACGGTGCGCAGCACAGTGGATATAAAGCAACCAAGGATAATATCTCCTCAGTTTAGCAGCTACGCCTTCGTAACATCCGCTCATAACAGATGCGCCATCTGCTCCAAGCGCCAGAAGAGTGGCGGACGAGCTCAGTTTTTCAATTGTTGCCAAAACCCCTTCATTCACAATGGTCTGGGCATCAGTCTCTTTAAGTCTAGCGAGATCATAAAATCGTTCTTCGATTTGTCCTTCATCGTTTACAAACCTAAAACAAGTCGACAGCTCTTCATGCCCCGCATTATCTTTGCATTCATCGATGAGCATTGAATACATCCCCGCTCTGTCTATCTGTTCCTCTATCAGATGTCGAACCTCGGAAGCCATGGCTCTTATCAACTCAAGCGAAGATCGCTTTGATGTGTAGTTGTATGCTTTGTATGTTTGAATCACCCTCCTATGCAGTTGTTTGAATGTTGGGTTAGTGCGTAGCATCACATTGATGAATTCTTTCCACTTTCCTGCATTGAGCGACTCGTCAGTTTCATCGTGCCCTCTATACGCCATCTCTTCAGAACAAAAGTACCGATGATACTCCAACAGCGTCTTCATGTATTCTCGATTGTTTTCCACTAAAGACGGTCTTCCAGGATCTAGCATATTTCCAATACTAGCCCCTGGATTATTTTTCTGGATGTTGTAACTTTCCCAGCGAGTCATGGAAAGGAGGTGATCAGAGCATGCGTCATGGGCTTTAAATCCGCGATTTTTTTCCATCGCCTTTGACCAGGTAGAAAAACCAACTTTAGTGAATGCTGTGTCGCTCTTTGACGTCGATGTGCTAAAGTTCCTACACGCAAAACAAAATGCTTTGTCTTTTGCAATGCTGTATTCAAGCCACGGATAACTTGTATACCAGGTTGCTCGAAAACAACGATTCTTCTGGCCTCTCGGATAGGATCCAAGGTTTGGGTGCGAGGGCCCATCCACCAAAGTTCCAAGATCACTCACTGCAGAGTCTAGATCAACTGGACGAACTCCCACTTGCGGCGGCTGAACAACACATACTGAAGGAGTCAACGGAGTAACAGCAGCAGATGTTGACGGGATTAGAGAGCTTGACACTGTATCGTTGTCAGTAGTCCTGACGTGAGCGCTATCTTCTTCGTTCACTGTTGTGGTTGCCACAGCTCCAGCTGTTAATGGTGCTCCATCTGATTCATTAGTCACTTCAAGATTTGCTCTTTTAGCAAAATATGAAGTTATTGTGCGATTTGCAGTCCTCTTAATATTGTTGAAGTTCGCCTCTCTTAATTGTTTCACCCGTCTCAACAATTCACAATACAATCACTCACGATAAGTTTAAAATATATATTGGAAAATGGATTTCAAAAGATTCACAATTTCACATTCACAGTGTACAGACTTTAGCCATATGAATAATGCATGTTTTGCGCTTAGCTATTTATACTAACGGGTAGGTGTAAATTATGACCTAAATTCTAGATATAGAACTATGACATAATTTCTGATGCAATACGGTAATACTTTATGAGTAAGCAAATTTATCGACAGCCAATGACTAAGCTTAATCGTGTCCAATTACGTCAGTCTGTAGGCTCTAAACGCCTATCCGGTATGGTTTTCGCGTCGCAGCGGAAGAGCCTGATACTCAGGTTACAGCGGAAGGTTATCCAATACAGTGTAAACATGGCCTTAAAGTGGCTGTCAAGTCCGTCCTGCGCACGATTTTGTATTGTTTATTTCTTTGTTTGTTCGGAAGCGTTTTGAAATATTCCTATAATCTGCTCATAAACACTGTTTTTTTCCCGTTTAGCGAATGGTTGTAACTTCGTATTTAACATGAAATTAAATGTATTAAATGTGTATTTTACATCAGAGAATGATAAACTTTCTATTTTTAACACATACAACAATTATCTTCGTTAAATAGTAGCATATATGCATTTTGTTGGACACATTACTGCGACTCGCAGTAATGTGTCTGCGAGTCTCGTAAGTAAATGTCATCATTGACATCGCTGAACGGTCGAAATTGTTTAAGTCACAAATGTAGATAATCATCCAGAATATTTTCTCTGAAATGTTGTTTTTTTTATGCTTAGCATGTGATTTATAACAAAATGCACCATTAAAATAGTGTTTTGAAAACCTAAAATTATTTACAAAATGTATTCTCAGAATGCTGCAAATGCCATTTCAGAGATCCAAATTTTAAAAATTTTCCGGGGGGGCATGCCCCCAGACCCCCCTAGAAGACTTGTGCCTTCGGCACTCGCCACCCCAATAATCAGTCAAATTCCGCAGATCATCTAAGCTTTTGTTGGCAATGGTTTCCCCTCATGCACCCATAACAACTCAGACGATGTCAAGATGGTTAAAGAACGCTCTAGGGACTTGCGGGGATTAATCCTGAGTATACAACAGGACACTCGACTCGAAGTGCATCAACATCAGTAGTGGCTGAATCCGGGATTCCGCTCGAGATAGTGTTACAGGCAACAGATTGGGCATCAGCCGAGACCTTTCATAAGTTTTATCATAAACCAGAGTCTAGAGATTTGTTTACGAGAACTGTCCTTTCTGTTAGTTAGTAGTTACATATATTGGGTGCATTGTAGTTACATATGTGTGCATTGTTAAGTTGTACATTTATCCATGATGGAATTGAAATATATTGCATTAAGATCGAATGCTCATTCAGTTGTCTTTGAATTCTGCAACAGTATTGTGAAGATCAGTCGAAGAAGATGTGAAGGAGAAATGAAGTTTCCCTGGAGGGTTCTTACCTGAAGGGGAGACGTAGTTCTCCGAACATTTTCGTAGACTGATATGAGCAATACTGTTCCCCGACCAACTTGGAAGGAGGAGAAACATTCCCTGTTTAATTTTAGTTATGTTATTTTATATATTTTCCTTCCCCACCCAACCTTCATTCGCATCCAAAAAAAAAAAAATGCCAGCAGGTTCAAGAGGACAATTGGGACATGCGCAGTTCGTTTTATTAAACGTGGTTTCCTGACCTCTTGCCACTCGAGATCTGCAACAGTATTGCTTATATCACTCTACGAAGACGTTCGGAGAACTACGTCTCCCCTTCAGGTAAGTACCCTCCGGGGAAACTTCATATCTCTTAAGATTCAAGTCTGACTGGCCACCCCGCAAATCAGTCGAGATACGTCCGGTAAATTCAAACTGACCAATCACAATGCAAGGATTGGACTGATTTGACCACTTTAAGGTCCATATCAGTCCGGCCACCCCACAAATCAGTTGAGATAAGTCTAAATGGCTTCTCTACCAATCTAATAAGAGGGCAGGCCCACCCGATTCTGCGAGTTTCTTACAATTTCCCTCTTTTTTTTATGAAAAATATTGTTCCAACATTACTGGTGAAAGCTCAATGTTTCCATACAAGCAAGTATGTGCATTTTGTAGCAATGCACACACAATATACATCCTACCAATGGCATTCATGTTAATTTTTTGCTGTTTTTTAATGTCAATGAATGAAAAGTCTGGACTAGTACAACAGTGTGCTCTCATGCTGTTTGCTTCATACGGCCCAGAAAGATTGGCAAACAAACCATTTGGCCAGACGCTTGCCTAACCCTTCACCCCCCATCTAATTATTTAAAATGAGCAATCTGCTTACATTTAAGGCGCCAGAATCTTGCCTCTCACACTCTTTGGAAAAGGAGTTTTGTTGAAATGGGTGACATTTCATGGATGTGAAATCACTCATTTTTCACACCATCCCAGACAATTCTAACCCTTTGCCCCCCACCCTCATCCCTCCCACAAACCTACATGTATTATCTGTATGTGCTATCTCATGCGAAATAGAGTTGTATAAAGCATGTATGTGATATTGACTGCAATGCCTCACTCTAAGGTTATAGTGAATGTAAAAAATATTGTAAAGTTGTAAATCATTAATATTTTATTCGCTTATTGATGTTGTTAAAGTGTGTATCAACCAAGCACAAAATTACTGATGTATCTTGTGTAAATACACTGTTTGATGTATTTTAAGTCTAAAAGATATCTGTCAATGGTACTTGTTAACGGGCTAACTTGATAATGGGTTAACTGGCCAAAAGCATTAAATACGCAGGGTTTCCACAATGCAAGGAAATTTCCTTGCAATTAGCAACCACAGGGGAGGGAGGGGTCTGTTTTAATATAATATTTTATGCATTCTTTTCAAAAGTTCTTTGTTTCTCTCTTTTGTCATTGCCATTCCCCTATGAGAACAGCAGCCATATGCAAATAGGTTGTGGAAACTCTATAAATACGTATGCGGTGTACCAACAAGCAAGCTAATTTACTTATTGATGTCACCATGCAAACATACAAGAATATTATTACTTATAATATGTTTAAATGTTTCTTCATACTAGGAAATATTGTTCGAGAGATGCTATTATTTATTTGTATATTATGTTTAACTATATTAGTTACTTATAATATGTTTAAATGTTTCTTCACACTAGGAAATATGGTTTGAGGAGATATTATTAATTATTTATATATTATGTTTAACTATATTGGTTCGTGCATAAAAAGGAAGGGTGTAGTGTATCTACTATACACAATTATTCACATATCTTGCTGAAGAATATTATTACTTAATACTTATAATATGTTTCAATGTTTCTTCATAGTGGGAAATATTGTTTGAGGAGATGCTATTAATTATTTGTATATTATGTTTAACTATATTGGTTCATGCATAAAAAGGAAGGGTATAGTGTATCGACCATACACAATTATTCACGTATCTCGCTGAAGAATATTATTACTTATAATATGCTTAAATTTTTCTTCATACTAGGAAATATGGTTTGAGCAGATGTTATTAATTATTTATATATTATGTTTAATTATATTGGTTCATGTGTAAAAAGGAAGGGTGTAGTATATCTACCATACACAATTATTCACTTATCTTGCTGAAGAATATTATTACTTAATACTTATAATATGTTTAAATGTTTCTTCATACTGGGAAATATTGTTTGAGATGCTATTAATCCCCGAGCGGGCGCGGAGCGCCTGCGAGGGTACTAATTCCGCTCGGAGATTAGGAATTACACCCGGAACCCGGTAGAACATAGCCGAATCCAAAGTTGTCCAAATTCTTTGTCATGGACGGTCGACGTTGGGTGGTTTTGTAACGTCTGGTAATCAACGAACGTTCTGATTGGCTAAGACAGAAAGTTTTTATTTCAATGTCAGCAATTTATATTAACTGTCATTTTGTAAACATTTTTGTAAAAGCGTTTCATAAACTTTGTGCAAAGAAAGTAAAACGAGAAGAAACAAGATATATGAAGCATGACAGTTAGCAAAGATGAACGTGGATACGGTCAAGACAAAGCCGTGTAAGAGGAATAATTCATAATCTGCAAACTTATAAATGTTTTCAAAGACAAAGGGTACGTGTTTACTTTGTTTATTTCGTATTTGTTTCGCGATAAGAATGAGCCGTATTTGTATATTTTTCAGCTTTGTATGCCGTTTATTTGTTAAATTTTCAGCTTTTTATGCAAACGCATAAACCTGTGAAAGGCTATTACACCTTTGCTTTAACTTCAAAAAGTGTTTTTGAAAGTTTAATTTGAATTTTGGTATCA